TGGGGTTACTCTTGTTGCAGACCATAGATCCGTGCTTCAACTGTCTTTTAGAGGAAGACACTGCCTTCAAAACTGGGTAAACAAAATGCTTCTTAATATTTTCAAAGAGACAAGCGGTTTGTTTGCAACAAATCCTAGAATAAATATTTATTCACTTTAGATTTCAATTTGTGCCTGAATCATGTCATTTAGAAAACCATGTAAACTTATATACAGATATTACGTTCCTCAACAAAGTAACTTCTTTCTATTCAACCCTATGGAAGACTAGAAGGGGCTATTACTGCTCATTTCTTGCCAATAGTCGGGCAACATGCAGGAACGCAAGCGTTGAGTATGACATTTTGAACACCTGTAGTGGAACCGTAGGGATTGTAAGGATTGTAGGGCAACGCTCCTGTCGATGCACCAGGACATGGACCTGGAAGGTTTCTTATATTTAGATGTTGTCGATAAAATTGACTTTGATTAATTAAAAGTCACTTACAGCCGTATGGCCCAAGTGCTCCATATCCAAGGCCAGATGGTCTAATACCAGCTCGCGCGGCAAATCGCTAGAACAACAAGCATGTTGATTTACAAATCCTAACCATTGAAGAACAACTTACAAGGTAGCCATTGCAGGCAGCACTTGCTCCATACGGAACCAGACCCGGATTTGCTATTCCGTAAAGTTGTGCTAGGAGAGCTGGAAGAAAGGCAAGCAGGAGAATCAATTGGCTGTTCATCTTTGAATATCTGGAAGGTAGGTCTCAAAATTGCCTTCAGAGACTGCACTCAAATTTCATAATCATAATTTACTATCCAGTTTCCAATAAACGGTCAATCATTAGAATTCCATACAAGACATATTTCAATCTTTGTTTCTACTTAAAATTATGTTGGGCTAAATTGCTCATCACGGTATCGTCGTGAATACAACTCAGTCCAATGGATTAAATATCAAATAATAATTTAGATGCAGATCTCGATTCTGTTCAAGAAACGTGTGCACTTTGGGTCTATCCTATGAAGACAGGTGCACTACGTACAAGCTTATTTGCTGTCCTTTGAATTGTGAATGGTGCAGGGATAAATTGTCAAAGGAATGGAAAATTATAACAATACTTAACTGCTATACGTTCTCCCATTCAGGATTGGCTAAAATTTTTTGATATTTCCTTATACGCTGTATGAGCGAACTACAGAAAGGCCGATGATTAGTTTTTATGGTATATTTAAGGCAACTTAGTATGAGAATAAACAAATATCCACTAATGCTGAGACTTTTCTAAAGGTTTAAACTATCCATGGTATGCGGCAATAGCTTTGAAAAGCAATAGAAGCATTACGTCCTTTAATTAAGAATCCTGTATAATTTGAAGTTGTTTCTTTTTTGAAGAAATCTGAGCTTTTCGATGATTTTTGTACAGATGGATTTCAATGCAGGGATCTGATACCAGTTTAATTCTCTATCGTATTATCTAAGCTTTGGAAAAATACTAAACCTACTTTTGTCACCCATGTTTTGATACCGTAAATATCTTATAAAATTGAATTGAACTCGAGTAACAAGAGTAAATTGGGAACTCAGTAAACTCAACGTTTACTTACCCGAAAGAAAATCCTTAACTTAACACAATAGGGA